TGCTTTCTGAAGCTCTTCTCTGATCTGGCAATCTTCTAGATCCTGAAACAGGCGCACCAGTGCTTTATGTACCCAGAGTACAACTTACAAGGCATCCATTATACTAGAAGCCACTGCACATGTATTAATTAAACACGTGAACCACACCTTTAAAGGGACTTTACGGAGTTTTGAATTTTTATGCTCGTGATTGCCCCCTCAGGCCAAAAGCGTAACGGCAGCTTCAACAGTAGGCTCGTGCACGAGGCGCGCATGCTGTACGTGCACACTCTTTAACAAAAATAACAGCTGAGACAGTCCCTTGTGTGTGTGTGTGTGTGTGTGTGTGTGTGTGTGTGTGGTCCAGAGGACAGGAGAACACGCAGCTAATTAATTAAATAATGTGGTTCTGTACCTTTCTCTTCAGCACAGCCGACAAAGGTTTATGATGGGTCAGTCCTCCTGCATGCTCAGATCATTCCCTTCCCTTGCTTGAAAAATTGTTCCAAAATGAAAGTTGAACCCACATCTTTTTTATCTGTGAATTCAATGCCGTTCGGCAAGTCTCAAATAAAAATTTGGGCGTCTTACTGTAAAAAAATATACCATTAATGTAAAAAAGAAACTCTAAAAAACTGTGTTCTCACCCGGGTCTCCTGCACGAGAGTCCGACGTCTTACTAGATGAGCTAAACCACCACTGACATATTTGGTATCTGTAACATTTATATCCTTGATGACAGCTAAAACAACGTTCAAAGTGAAAATGGCTATTTTGTTGCTAATTAGCAGGAAATATCTAGAAGAAAGTTCTACAGAAAGTAGCTAAGGGTCCTCAGAAATGTAGCTAGCTTTGTCACTAGGCGTTAGGAACAGCGACAAAGTGGCACTGCCTCTCTCTCTGCTGCTAAAGCTACGGATAGCAAATGCTACGGGCGATGCCTGAGCGTGAACGCGCATGAAGCAGCCTGCTCGACCCGAGCATCTCTCTTTTTCTGTCATTTTACAGAAAAACAGGCAATCACAGTAAAAATGCCAGGGCTCATTCTACAGGACCAGGGCGTTGCAGGAGAACGTATGAAGAAGACATTTATTATTTCTATACATGTTTTGGCTGTCAGACTTCCATAATGCACCTTTAAGTGATCATATCGGTGAAATGTGGAGAAAAAAATTAAGCCAACAGTCACACATGGTTGACCCCAAACTAATCTCTCTGTATCTGATGGCATTCACCACATTTCTCCAAATATCAACATGTTTAAAATATCTAATCTAGACACAGTTTTAAACAAACTAAGATCTCTCTTCATTTAATTATGTTCATGTTTATTATTTAGCAGACGCTTTTAGCGACTTACAGTTTATAACCTATAGGGCGTGTTGTGATCTGTGGGGGAAACCGGAGTACCCGGAGGAAACCCACGCATGCATGGGGAGAACACGCAGCTCCACGCAGAAAGGCCGCAGCCGAGTTTTGAACCTGCAACCTTCGTGCTGCGAGGCAACAGTGCTAACCACTGCACCACCATGCAGCCCAGTTATTTTGTTGTTTGCCCATAAGGGCCACAGTACTTATGAACTGGGACTAGACAAGCGCTACTAGTTTGTTGATCATTTCAGACCTGACCACAAAGATGGGGTCTAGACCAGAAGAGAGGAGAAACGCTACAAGCAGGACAAACTGGTTCACAGCAACAAGCCAACAACAGAAAACTGTTTAGCTGTGCTCAAGATAACACACAGTTTCTTCAGATTAAAAGAAAGAAGAAAGCTTATGGGAAGGATTACGGTTCTCAACAGTGAGAGGACAAACACCAGTTAGCAGAGTTGTGGGTATGTACTGAGATCAGAGATGAATGCTAAAGCTTGTTGAGTGTTTGGGGAGATTCAAAACAGAATTTTGTTTCCGTCATCACATCTCCAGCACAATTACAGCTGATGTGCTGTTTTTCCACTAAGTCCGTGCGTCAGGGCATGATCCTGGAACACCTGAGGGCTAAGAGACGAAAAGCCGATAAAATGAAACTCTTTGACTGCAGAAATAGCTGAGTCGGTACCTTATGTCTTTGATGGTGGCTCTCTTGAGTGGATCCACCTGCAGCATGAGCATCAGCAGCAAGGCCACGGAGTGGGTCAGGTACTCTGGGATGTAGAAGACACCTCCTCTGATCTTCTTAAACAGAGTGGGGACGTGCTCGTCATCAAAGGGCAGAGTGCCACACAGCAGGGCGTACAAAATCACCCCGCAGCTCCAGATGTCCACCTCCGGGCCTGCATACAGCCTGACAGAACCAGAAGATTTCACAGGTGCAGGGCAAGCAGAAGCTAAAGGCTGGAAACCTTCAAAGAAATTTTACTGCTGCAACAAAATTATTATAAAAAAGATCTAATTCTGTGATGATAATGTAGCGTCCAGCAGTGGTCAGTTTAGGCACCTTTCACCATCTATTCAACATCCGGTCAGAAAGGAGACACAACACTGCACGTGTTCCCTTTAAATGAGTCTGCTTCACACCAGCTGGGACTCCGACTCTGCTAGTCTGAAAGATAAACAATAACTTTCTTTCCCCAAGGCCCCATCTGTCTGCCTCCAGAAGAAAGAAGATCCAGCTCAAATCAGTTGCTAAATCCAAGAATGATTTAATAACTTCTCCTATGACTTATAATCTAGATAATCATTAAATAAACATTTGTTTATTACTACTTATTATAACCATAGTACAATGAAATGCTTCATTAATCTGTGCTCACTGAATGGATGTCATATTATGTTGTCTACTAGAACCTGCCATGTGTTCACCATGTTCTGACCACAAATGGCCTGTATTTGACCTAGCGCCTTCTAGAGTCCTGGAACCCCCCAAGGCGCTTTACAGCACAATCAGTCATTCACCCATTCACACACACTGGTGGGGATGAGCTACGATGTAGCCACAGCTGCCCTGGGGCGCACTGACAGAGGCGAGGCTGCCGAGCACTGGCGCCACCGGTCCCTCCGACCACCACCAGCAGGCAACGTGGGTTAAGTGCCTTGCCCAAGGACACAACGACAGCGACAGACTGAGCGGGCCTCGAACCTGCAACCTTCCGATTGCGGGGCGAGCGCTCAACTCCTGTGCCACCGTCGCCCCAAGGTCCTCACACCTGCTCCACACAATAACATGTTTAAGTTAAGACTAAGAGGGCGTGTTTCTGAGATTCTTGGTAATATCCTCAACTAGTCAACCTCTGGTTGGCTACACAATCATAACATCATAACATTAAAACCAGATCACGCTGGTGATTCTTCAGTTCTAGAGAAAGCTTCAGACGGGCCATCTGTAGCTAAACCTCTTTAACCATCAGAGTTTGACACGTCGTCAACACCTTTCTGCACCTACAAAGCTGAGACAGCAAAACAGTTCCTGCAGAAACAAGCTGATGTTGTTCAGCTCCTTAAGAGTTATTCCTCAGACGCAAGCTGATCCCAACCTGGTGACAACTCTGGACTGGAGAAGTCGGTGCTTGCGGTCAATCTACTGGACCTGGGTGCCCCGAGGTCATCCGACCTCTCTGACCTCGGGATCCGTGACGAGGGTCTCCAAAGAGTGAGGTAGAACACAGAGAGACTGCGTCTGATGTGCTTCTGACCATAACAACTTCATAGCTTAAGCAAACCAAATTCTTTTTCACCCGGAGACCTCGCTTTCCGAGATTCAGAAGCTCTGATCAACAACACACTGACACATAGCCTTCATCACCTTTATCTTCATCCATTCCCAGAAAATGCTTAGTTCACTTATCGTGTTATAATTGTAATAAAATCGTTTCTTACTTTTATAAACATGACTCTTTTCTGAATCAAAACGAAGTGTGTATAATTACTTAATAAAGCAAAAATCCTAGAATCGTCTGATTAAGCCCAATCATCTTCTGATATTTACAATAAAGATCAAGCAAGGTAGCATTGCATATTTATACAGAATATCAAATAAATAATACATTTGCCTCCGCTACATAATTCAGACCAGAACTTCTGTTTTATCTAAATCACACTCACACACACACACACACACACACACACACACATGAATTACGGTGATTAAACAATCATCCTGAAAAAACAGAAATTTGTAATTGCAGTGAAAACAATCAGCTGATTAGCTGAACCTCACCAAAAATAATTTTCAGACTCCTTTCAGATGATCAATCATTTCACAATCAGGAATTAGAAAATTTGTGGAATTTAAGAGAAGAAACTATTTTCTTTGATGAGATGCTGTTTTGTTCTCGTGGCCCTTTGTTCAGCACATAAACCCTCATCAACCCCGCCTCCCACTACTTTTCAATCCAACATTAAGTCATTTGTTGATTTTGTTGTTTATGTGTCTAAGCCACTCATTAGAACATAAAAAATAAAAATACTCCCAACTCAAAGGATATTGTAACTTTGTGAACATGAAAAAGTTATTTAAGCTCCTTCACTCATATTTTAACACGTTTGCAGTGGTCTCCAGTAGGAGTGAATGCCTTGTAAGTCGTACTTTGGGGGGAAAAGCTCCAGTGCACCAGTTTCAGCACGGACAATTCAGCAGGAAGAGAAAGGCCCAGTCTCAATACTCACACTGCGCCCTGCAGTCTTCAGCAAAGTGCACTTGGAGGAAGTGTGCAGTGGGGTTCGAGTGTGCGATACACAAGTGTGCAGATAATTGCCGAATTGAGACAGGGAGCGTTGAGGCAACGCATGCCGGGATGCTGGTCGCTGTGAAACTTTTTTCAAAAGCCTTTGTTAACAACTTTCAAACAAACAACAAAGCAATTATTTGAAATAAATTTTACTTCATTGCTGCTTTGTCTAAAACATTCAGAGCATCAACTAGTCGTCCTAAAATGAACTAATTTCATTAGAAAATACATATTTTCAGAACAGGAACTTGAGCCTTTTCTCCTGCAGCAATGACTTGTGGGTAATACCCTTGCCTGAGGTCCACATTGCTGCGGACTAGGGCAGGGGTGTCAAACATGCGGCCCGCGGGCCGGATCCGGCCCGCAAGCGGGTTAAATCCGGCCCGCGAGATGGTTGTGTAAACTTTATTTTCATACTTTACATTGTAGAGTGAAACTAAACTTATCTTTGTGAGCAAGTTTTCTCTGTAATGAGTATAAATAAAACAAAGCTGCGCTCAAGGCTCACACAAGAACTTGAATCCCATCCTGAAGTTGGCCGCCACTCAGGATGTGACTTCTGATGTTGATGTGCCGGTGAAAGCTAAAAGATGTAAAGTAAAATGAGTCAAATATACTTTAAGTGCTGCATGAAACTGATCTAGCCATGTGATCTGTAAGCTCTTTGAATCACTAAGGAATGTTTTTTTTATTTGTTGATTTTTTGATTTTTTTTTTTTTTTTTCAAATTTTCAAGTACACTTCAGGTGTTGTACTTGTACTATTTTGGATATACTGTCCTCAGGCTCCAGCCTTGTTTTATAGTGATTGTATTAAAATAAAGAAAACAATCTGAAGTTTTTTTTTATTTACCGGTCCGGCCCACTTGGGACTAGATTTCCCTCAATGTGGCCCCTGAGCTAAAATGAGTTTGACACCCCTGGACTAGGGTGAAGTGCAGAATAAAGGGTGCAATGGGGGCGTGGCCAACTTCCGCACTTGAGAATCAGGACACCCTACGCACTCTCACCCCTGGCCGGGAACGCGCAATTGAAGGGCGCAAGGGTGCCAGTGTGAATATTGAGATTGGGCCATAGACGGCAGGATTTGGATTCTTACTTCCTGGTATTTGGACATCTCACCTCTTATTGGCTAACAACTCAACCACTACTTTGTTCGCTCTGCAACGTTGATGTTTTATCTCCACCAATAACACAACTAGAGTTGCAACGATTATAAATTTTTGTGGTACGATTATAGTCTGAGAAATAATACCGATTTCACAATTACCACAATAATTTTACATTAATTGATTTCACATCTGCATTAACACATAGATCACACACATTGATAAAAGACATGATTACATTCTATAAAGGTTTTGAACCCCTGAAAGATCAATATTTCCTTTTCAGAGATTTTGCTTAGAAAAATTCACAACACTGATTTGCAATGTGGTTGTTTTACCTCCACAAATAACACAAGCCTGGAGGAGTTCTGCTGTTTGGCGGAGTTGCTAATGCTAACAGTTAGCTTCTACTAGTTGAGACGATCTCTGCTGATTCCTGGATGCTGAACCAACAACAGCCTTCCCTGTCGTGAGTCAAGATGGGTGAGTCCATGAATGTAAGTGGCAGTGAGACATAAATCTGTCAGGTTTCACTAGCCTGGCCGGCCAGACTCACCCTCTGTTTAATTCTGCACAGAGAACTAGTCTGGTTACTCACATGGTAAAAATCCAAACGGGAAGTAATAAAAGCATGGATGACAGATTCTAAGTGCGGCCGCTTCAAAATCAATTTTAGACACATTTTATTTTTTAGTTAACTGGTCAGAGTTAACGCTGAAGGATGGAGACACCTTAATGAATTGATGCTAAATTCCTACTAGTGCAATTGTTATTATTATCATTACTTAAATGTAATTTCTGCTTGTTCATATCTTTTTAAATTTAATCAGTACGAATATTATTGGAAGAAGGATAAAATCTTTTATTGCTATGTAGAACAGGAATTACAGAGAGGTGTAGTTGATTAAATATTAAAATGGCTTGCCATACTACTTGTTGTAGCTGTCTATACAGGGGAAATGCAAAACAACACAATATGAACACCCTGAAATGTGGGTACTCCAAATTCTTCTTTGGTGTTTTCCTATCTTCAGCAAGGAAATTAGCAATTGCAAAGGCTAGCGTTCTGTGAGTAACGTTACCATGACCAAAGCTAATATATTGCCAGAACTGAAGTTGTTTGTGCAGATTAAAGGAGATGTATCTTGCTCTAGCTAACTCAGTGAGTTTCACAACATTGCTCATTTAAACAGGAAAGCTACGAGTGACACCCCAAGCTGCCTTTATTCAACAACAACAAGGTAGATGTTAGGGCTGCACGATATTAGGAAAACCTGCGATAACAGTAACTAACATTGTGATGACTTGCAATAAATAAACAAATACTTAACTCAAGAACAAAAAATATAAAGCAAAGAAATTTAAAAAATAATTTTAAATGACTAAATATCACAAAAATGGTGATCCAAAGATGTGAGGAAATGGGAAAAAAATGAACAAGAAAGGGCAATCAGTGGATCCCGGATAACGCAGAATCAGCAGAAGGAGCAAACAAAGCCAACTCATCTGTTCACGAGCCATCCAAATTAAGTCCTGTCTGCCTAGGAGAGGTGGGCATCTAACCTATAAGAACCCACCCGATTGGCCAAATGAGTGAAGAGCTCTATTTGATTTGTCAACATCTTCATGCTTCCATTTGATTGACAAAATGCATTATGTGTAGCAAACATTTCAGCTGACCATTCATTGTGTTTGTTTCTGTTCTTTGCAATATGCATACTGCTAATGCTGATATCGCGATGACGATTGTAACGTCCAGGAATGGTCCGTTTTTACCTACAGAATGACCTACATGCCACCGGTCATCTACGGACATGAATCTGCCTCGGTGCGTCTCTTAATCTTCCGAGCAACAGGAAAAGATTTGACACTCAGATTATCAACATCATGTTCCCTTCTCAAGGTTCTTCTCTGCCAAGCCGGTCTGCTTATCTAGGCTGTCCTGCACAGAATAAAGGACTGAACCATTATCTTAGTAAACAATCATATGGTTGAATGAACAATAATGGTTGATGAATAATAATAATGTTTTGATTAATCTGTGCTTAAATGAATAAGGTTGATTAATATGTGCTTGAATTACTGAAGTTGAAATGAATATTATTATTACATTGAAAGATTCATATATGATGATCAGTAATGTTTGGTTTAACAAGTGAATCATTATCTACACTCAGACACAAGGTTCATTAGAGATAAATTAAAGTTAAAGTAACGTCACTGCACATAGATATTTTCTTAGCCACAAATCAGAGCATCCTGTATCTGAAAGAAGGCGTGACGTTCTGAGGTTTGTTTGTTAACACCCCTTAACATGGCACGTCCCGATTGGCCAAGTAAATCATAATATGAGAATATTAAACAGAATCACTGGGGAGTGATTCATCATTCCAGCATTCCAACATTCTGAGATTCAGCATCCTGTTAGCTGAGCCAACTCTGACTGGCCTTCGGAGGAAACTCTATAACCACCGCATCTCTTGAGAAGCTTTCTACAAGCTAAGAGCTGCCTGCAGCTGACACAGCAAAACGGTTCCTTCAGCTATTCAGAGACAGCTGCTCTAAACGCAAACTAGTTCCAACCTGAGTGCCAGGCGACATCTCTGGACGGGAGCGTCGGTGCTACGGTTAATCTACTGAACCTCGGTGCCCAGAGGTCATCCGACCTCCCTGACCTCCGGATCCGCGAAGAGGGTCTCCAAAGAAAGGGTGAGGTAGACACACATGATTGTGTCTGATGCCGTTTTGATAGGAACCAACTTCATAGTTTAATGCAAACCAAATTCTTTTCACACCCAGAACTCAGTTCTTCTAGATACAAGGTTCTGATAAACACACACCATTCACCATACATCACATCCCATCCACTTACATTCATTTTTGTTTGTATGTTTGTTAAGAAAAGTCTCAGTGTGTCTGTTCACTTGTTCACTAGTGTGGGTTGGAGCCCTTTGAGGTGGAAACTTGTCAGAATGGAACAAACTCTTAGATTCTGATGTGTAATAAGATAATATAATACCATAAAAGCAGGTGACTGGCATTGGCTCGCCACAACACTGAGTCCAAACAACGCAGCAAAGATGGTATCCTAAAATGTGTTTGTATTTGCTCAAATGAATCAGTTTAGTTCAGATTTTATTGGTAATATTTAAAGAAATTCCAAAATTAAGACTTTTAAGCAGTTCTGCAGAGCCCAAGGATAAAAAAGACTATAAAATCTGTAAATGCAATTGATCTCACACACACACACACCTTCCTGAGATGACCTCTGGGGCAGCGTAGTTAGGGGAACCACAGCTCGTGCGTAGGAATTCTCCATCTGACATCATATTTGAGAGTCCTGTTGGCCAATCACAGGCAAGCACATGTTATTAACCGTCTCTCTTTAATTTGACAGTGAAAGGCACCAAACAATAAGGTTGTGATCATGTTTTTGTTTTTCAATTTTTCATCCAAGGACAGTAAATTGAATGCTGATAGGCAATTAGATGACACAGCGGGTGCTGCTGAGGTCTTTATCCTCCTCCAACCACCAGGACATGAAGCTTTAAGCACAAAGCTCCTCTAATTGGATGAGCCCGTTTGTGTCTGCCACGGTCGGAGCCAAACATCACACACGCTGTGATTTCCTGACCTTGACTTTATCGTTTAGCCCCGCTCCCTGAACACTCCCTCTCACCATCGTCGTTTCTGTCTCAGCCAAAACGCTTCTCCTGCCTCACCCCCGTTGATTCCTTCCCTATCAGATGACACTGGGCCTCAAGGCTTCCTGCCAAACTTGATATGAGACCTGGCTGTTGCTAAGGGATGCCTCTCCACCCCTCACACCCAGTTGAGCACACTAGTGTGTTGATCACAATATTTCCCTGTTTCATGGTCACATTGCTAAAGAAATTTGGAGCTTGGCTACAAAAATTACTGTCAGAATCAATGAGATTCTCTCTAATGTCCAAGTGATCAATTCCATATGTACGTATGTCTCAATGTTATTAAACTAACTAATTCTTCTCTGCCCTCACTCACCATGCCCTGTTATTAATGTAATCCACTTGTAAATGTTTCCCTCCCTCTTAATGTTAATGAGCTCTTTCAGGATCTCACCAAAGTCTGCAATCTTGGCGTTCCTGTTGGCATCAAGCAGGACATTCTCAGGTTTGAGGTCTCTGTGGACCACCATGTGTCTGTGGCAGTAGTCCACAGCCGAGATGATCTGCTGAAAAAGACGGCGAGCTTCTGTGTCCTCCACCTGAAGGGAACAAAGGGTACGAGACAAATGGAAACCAACAGCTTGACTGGGACATTTTTCTGATCTGATCAGATGAAAGAAGGGTGTGAAACATGAAGATCTATAAACAACTGTTATTATTAGGACCACAATGCTGCTTTCAAGCAATTATATGATGACACTGCTGTTTAACGAGCACTAATGTTAAACCAAATGTCGAAAAGAAGATAACTGAAAACATTTTATCATGCCTCCTAACAATGTTGTAACATCGTATAGCTATAAATACATTGTGGAGAATTAAGAAGATGTAATAAAGTGGTTCTCCAGCATGTGTCTAAAAACCTCCACCAATAGCAACCATTGGACCATTCAGTAGTTGGTCTCGCCGAAATGCCGCAATTCCCCGGTTCCTCCATTCATTACGCACTCACGCATTTTGCAACTGAACACCACTGGTGTGAGAGGTTCTCCACTCAATAATATCAGAAGCTGTTTTTACAAAACAATGCAGTCAATTTGCCACAACGCCGTGGCGGCATCAGTGTCAGACCGTGGAGGTAATGTGGCGCAATCGTGTTCTTTTTATAAAAGATTAGGCAATAGCGGCATAAAGGGGGTATGGGGGTGGTCTCTGCGATGCTACAGACTTCTGTTTGTCTTGGACAAAACTTGATTTTTGTTGCGATTGAAGCTGCGATCTTTACGTTTATTTTAACAAGCTGGCCCTAAAAGTGTCTGTCTCCATCAGTCCCTGATGATCTGAGCTTCAGCTCCAACAGAGAGATGCTCATGGAGCGCTGCGGCGCTCCAGTTTGCCATCTTTGTTCAAAAGCAAAACTTATTGCCCGCATTTTCTTTCATTTTCAATATAGTTGCCGGCCGGAGCTCGGCATTAACTCCCCACGTCATCATGACACCTCCGTCTGTTGCGCCATGGCACAACAGCTGTTTATGAGGCAGACGATTACCGCAACATTACTACCAAGTGATGCCGCAAATTTTATAAGACACACCATTGTGGTAATATTACGCCGATTTGCCGGCATGGTGTGTCTTGAAAAAAGGGCTAGAGAAGGAGAAACAGCTGGCTGTTACCACTTCTTCTTTAGAACAAACTACCAGAGTCCCCAAAAGAAAAAACACCATCTGAAGTCACGGACAACAAAAGACGTTTGGACCTAAAAGACTGCGACTGGTGTTTAGCACTATCTCGTTTCTACTGGCATCTCAGGGAAGCTACCCAAGGGAGGGGTGAGTGATCTGTGACTGTTTGCACTCAAAACTTAGCTTGTTTTGTAGAGTCACTAAAGCAGCTTTAACTAAGAACATTTTCATATTAAAAACTTGATCAGATTGGATGAATGACACCACCAAGTGCATATTTGTCACATGCAGACATATAGTGAATTTATTTCTCACTCTTCGTTTTTATAAAGCTGCTTCATTTGGCTATTACTGGTTGTCTGTTGTGTTAGTTCTAAAAAATAACATTACAGCTTAAATATACAACAAAAGAAGACAAATCCTACATTAGAAAAATACATAACTCATACTGTCACAAATTAGGATTTTTAAAGAAGCAATGACTCTCAAACACAAAAAGATAGTGTCCGCTACTGCTATCTTTTTAATTGTTCCATGCAGCTGGACCGATTCTCCTTTTTATCGTCTCTCCCACTGTTAAAGAAGCGAGTACAAAATATGAAGTGGTATTTGGTATTATTCATGTTGTAACACTGGAAATGTCTAACGAAGCTATTTGTCCAGCAATGTCAGAGGTCAACAGACACTGTGTAAAACACAACCTAAGCATTTAGGACAGAACACGACTAATGGTTCCAGTTTGTCAGCAGCAGTTTTACAGATTATTGTCACCCCAAAAGAACAGCGTCTGTTTCACGAAGGAAGCAGCATTGTGTTGTTTTAATATAAGCAATAGTACCTAATGAGAATGTAATTAACTGCCAACTTCTTATACATAAATCAGAAATGCAACTATTTGTGTTTTGAAATGTTTATTAAGTCACATGATTTCTTTTAATCATGCGCCCCTCTAACAACACTACCAGTACCAGCTACTAGTATGTTGACGCTTGACTGCTTGATCCCGTGAGATTTGATGAGCTTTTCCACTGACAACTTCCTGCTTTAGCTCAAACTCCACCTCAGAGGGCAGTGATGGCAACCCAAAATGGCTAGGCTGCTAAACACACACCACAGGTGTAAAAACAAGGTGCTGCGTAAACTCATAAAAACTGCCGACTCACTGATTAAAAAAAATGTGAAGTTTCACTTAAGAGTAGTTCCTTTTACATTAGATTTTATTTGTGCTAAAAATACAAACACATGAATGGGTAACGCAGATAAATTATAATAGAAAAATGCAGCATTTAAATGTAAAACAAACACTAGACGCCTATGATGTATGTTTGAAAAGCCTAAAAGCTCACATTTACAACTGAAATGAGCTAAGTGTAAAAACTATTTCCCAGCATATCAGAATGATGTAAAGATGTGGTTCGCTTGTTTAATGGCTTTTGTTTGACCTTGTGTTAATTCTTGCTCACTAACTTCTCATGCTGCTCCCTCTACCAACTTCTGTTTTTCTCATAATCCTGCATTACCTTTTTCTTATTAATTTTTTGTTCTCCTTCTCATTTGTCAGTTTATTATTTTCAATTTTTTTAATGAAATTTTTAAATCATTTTTATATTTTTGAAATTATTCTTCAATTGTTTTTTATCCTATGTGAAAAAATGGTTTCTTCTTAATCAATACATTTCCCAGTGGTCTCAAATAGGAATGAATGCCTGGTCAGTTGCACTCAGGCGTTGGGGGGTGTACCTGTGCACCAATTCTAGGGAGTGAGCCACATCACAGCTTCAAATGGAGAGTTTTGGAGTCTTATTTCCTGATATTTGGACATCTTATCCTGGATTGGATAACAGCAAAATGGCTCACTTACCACTGACTGCTCTGCAATGTTAATGTTTTATCTCCACAAATAACTCAATTGAAGTTCTGCTGTGTGGTGGTTACTAATGCTAACAGTTAACTTCTACTAGTCCAGATGTGCCTTGCTGTTTCCTGGATGCAAGAAATGTGGAATTGTAGCATCAACAAGTCAACTCCATGCAGTGTTTTTCTTCAGTTCAGCAACTACGCCAGGTGATTTCGATCAGCACAGTGAACAAACCTGGTTCAGTTGCTGGGCAGAACAAAAACACGGTACGGCGATGACTCGTTAATGACACAATTCGCAATTGTCTGCTGGACTCCAAACCAACAACAGCGTTCTCCGCCGTGAGTCAAGATGGGTAAGTCCATGAATGTTAAGTGAATGTGTGACGTAGATCTGTCAGGATTTCAAATCCTAGAGTTTCACCATCTTCAGACGCTAATGCAGGAGATAGGTGTAGGAGACTATTTTCATGTTCAGTCTGCATTTAAAACCCACAGTGATGCATTATAATCAGGAATAATAATTTAAAAAAATGTTTTTTCAGTGAACCATACCTTTAGGTAAATGCATCATGTTATTTGTTATTTGTAGGGGCAGTGTTACCAGAGCTGTAGGAGAGAGTTGCGACAGGCTTTGAACTCGCCGACTCGCGGTCACGTGGTTCATGGAGCTCTCAATAGTTCCAAACATCCCAGCACTGTAAATCAGTTTGAACGGCGTATAGTGGGACAACTCACAAAAATTGAATATTGTCACATTTCCCCTGGCTATTTTTGGTAATTATTGAATAAAAATATATATTATATTATATATTATGTCCTAATTCCTTCACAAAGTAGCCTATTTTTTTTTCGAGCATATGTAGGGAGACAAACACCCGTGACTGTTCTACATTACAGGAACACGGCAGTCCTAACACACTGTAGAACACATTTAGACCAAATACAGGTGCTGGCCAGTAAATTAGAATATCATCAAAAGGTTGAAAATATTTCAGTAATTCCATTCAAAACGTGAAACTTGTACATTATATTCATGCAATGCACACAGACCAATGTATTTCCAATGTTCATTACATTTAAATTTGATATTCATAAGTGACAACTAATGAAAACTCCAAATTTGGTATCTCAAAAAATTAGAATATTCTGAAAAGGCTGAATATAGAAGACACCTGCTGCCACTCTAATCAGCTGATTTACTCAAAACACCTGCAAAGGCCTTTAAAAGGTCCCTCAGTCTTGTTTTGAAGGCACCACAATCATGGGGAAGACTTCTGACTTAACAGCTGTCCAAAAGACAATCATTGACACCTTGCACAAGGAGGGCAAGACACAAAAGGTGATTGCTAAAGAAGCTGGCTGTTCGCAGAGCTCTGTGTCCAAGCACATTAACAGACAGGCGAAGGGACGGAAAAAATGTGGTAGAAAAAAGTGTACAAGCTCTAGGGATAACCGCACCCTGCAGAGAATTGTGACGACAAACCCATTCAAAAATGTGGGGGAGGTCCACAAAGAGTGGACTGCAGCTGGAGTCAGCGCTTCAAGAACCACCACGAGGAGACTCATGAAAGACATGGGATTCAGGTGTCGCATTCCGTGTGTCAAGCCACTCCTGAACAAGAAACAGCGCAAGAAGCGTCTCGCCTGGGCCAAGGACAAAAAGGACTGGACTGATGCTGAGTGGTCCAAAGTTATGTTTTCTGATGAAAGCAAGTTCTGCATTTCCTTTGGAAATCAAGGACCCAGAGTCTGGAGGAAGAGCGGAGAAGCACAGAATCCACGTTGCATGAGGTCCAGTGTAAAGTTTCCACCGTCAGTGATGGTGTGGGGTGCCATGTCATCTGCCGGTGTTGGCCCACTCTGTTTCCTGAGGTCCAGGGTCAATGCAGCCGTCTACCAGGAAGTTTTAGAGCACTTCATGCTTCCTGCTGCTGACCAACTTTATGGGGATGCAGACTTCACCTTTCAACAGGACTTGGCACCTGCACACAGTGCCAAAACCACCAGCACCTGGTTCAAGGACCATGGTATCCCTGTCCTTGATTGGCCAGCAA